ATTTTATCTCACACGGTGGACTACATGCTTCGGCAGAATATAAATTCTCAAATCTAAAAATTTCAAATTCTATTCAAATCGACACACGGTAGAATACATGCTTCGGTAGAATATAAACTCTGAAATAAAAAAATTTCAAATTCCACTCAAATTGGCATATGGTAGACTATATGATTTGGCATAATATAAACTCTCAAATCTATTTTTAATTTTTACTCGCGCACCTAATCGTAGTTAACCCTAGTATTGCCTTTCACTATTCCGGTTTGGATTTCTTTCCAAATCATGGAATATTTCTTTGTCACTCTTCATGTTCTATTTTAAATTTTAGTCCAAATTATGCTCAAGTTTATCTTTTTCCCCTAAATTGTGTTTGATTATAAGGGAGTACTTCCTCTATTGCAGTTATTGTTTTCAAGATACCCCATCAATATTTAAAAGATAAAATATACAACATCCATTTTACGATTTTTTTTTAAACAACACCCCCGGAAGGGTGGGGGTTAAGGCTAGACTCCCAACATGTATATAAAAAGGCCCGACATGGGCTAAATAGTCACAGGTCTACAAGTCCAAAGTTCAAGATACAACAATCCAAACAAATAAAAACCAATCAAGAAAAATGAATAACAGAGCAAATGATACAAAAATATCATAGCCTGGTCCGAGAAAAATATAGCCAAAAAGTCATCACCACGAGTGAACAGAAGCACAAAAAAATGGGGGCGACTATCCAAATCTGAACGATGGGTAGCCCATCTGGTCCATTCGTATAAGGATATGGAGACGGAAAGGAACATCATCAGGATGAAGAATATGCCTATGGGGGCAGAGGTTCCGATGCCGGCAAGGAAGTCAGCAGATCGGTTCTCCTCGCCGAAGATGTGCGTGATACGCCTCTGAGGGGTGGAGGTCCCGTTGCCAGTAAAGAAGTCAGCAGATTGGTTCCCCTCGCTGAAGATGTGCGAGATCCGATAGCGAATTGTTTGTCCCATTCTTGTTGCGTTTTTCGTGTTTATTTTATCTTTCTTTTCCCCCCGTTTTAGGTCGTTTCTTTAGTTTTTAGTCCGTTTCATGTTTTATTATGTGTTTTTCTTTATTTTGAGTCTTTAGGTGTTTTTCGTTTGTTTTTTCGGTTTTCTTTTGTGTTTTGTCGTTTTTGGTGTGTAGGTCGGGAGCTTTGAGCAAATTTTCTCTTCAGGAAAAATTGGTTTCGAGAGCATAATTAAATAGATGGGCTCGTTAGCTACGCGTAGGAAAAAACAGAACTCAATTCCAAGTTCGGACGAGCTCAAACGAGACCAAAACGTAAGATGGTGCAGTGCAACCCAGGTCGCGGGACCGCGCCCCACGCCAGCGTCCAGCATCGCGCGACTCGCGACCAGGAACTCGCGCCTCGTGAGTTTAACAGAGAGCGCAGCCCCAGCGACCCAGGTGACTCGCGACTCGCTAGTTTACTCGCGAGTCGCAACTGGGTCAACCCTGTTTTTATTTTTGCTCGTTTTTACTCGTTTTAGCTCCGTTTTTCGAGCACTATATATCAAAACGATCCTTAGACTCGTGGGACCAATCTCCAATATTGTTTGTCCACTCTCTCCTTCTATAAAACTCATATTTAGATCGTTCTTTTTGCTCAATTCTCTCTTTACTTTTCCGAATTTAGCTTTGTCATTGGATTCGAATATTGAATTTCTATTAATCGTAAGTTTCTCTTTTCATCTAATCCATGAATATGAGGACTTTGACTGTTGAGATTGTTGATTTTGAATTCCATATGAGTAGCTAATTCGTTTCACTAGGGATAGAGGATGATGATGATGTTTAGAATTTAATTGTGATTATCATGCTTGTTGATCGTTCAATTTATGCGAGTTGTGCTTAACTAGGGTTTATAATTCTCGTGCACTGAATGTTGAATATTGTCGAAGAGTGACACTTCGATTTGCAATTGATTTCCAATTGAATATGATTTATTCTTGTATATTGTGTTTAAATCTAACGAACTAGTAGATTAACAATCGTCTAGGATAATTAATCAACTCTTAGAACCAAAAGGGGAGAAGTTGGTCGATCTAGGCTAGCATGAAATAGACTTGTTCGGAAACGTATTGTCTATGTGTTGAGTGATTTGTGTGATTTACCGTCTATGTTACCCTCTTGTTACGAAGAGTTATTGAGGACTATCTCTAGACGTTAGGTTGTTCGAATCATTTAACCGAATGATCTTAGCTTGATATTTGCATTGGTTAGAAAATTATCATCCCCGACTCCTTAGCTTCTTATCCTTTGATCTTCATCTTTGATTTTAACTTCGATTTTGCATTGTTTGAATTCTCTTTTGTAGTTGATAATTAAAAACCACTATCTTGATTAGAGTGCTTAGGATTTATTTTTCTTTTATGTGTTATCGACACCATTCCTAGACTCCGAACCGCCTTCCTCGAGAGATCGACCCGGGGAACGAATCTTTCGATTCGGTACTTGGTAAAAATATATTTTGCTACAACACGAATCGACCGAAAAGTGACTCTAATATGCATGAGTGGATGTTGAATCTGCCACGCACCCTGATGGCAAGAGGTCAAGAGTGTTGTAAGAAACAGGGGTAGATCGAGGTGCGGTCCCACGCAGATGAAGCACACCGTACAAGGAAAAACCCAAATGAAGCCTAAGTAACTTTTCATCCCAAAAACAATTGGTGAAAGGAGAAGTAACCACTACTCTTATAAGCTGTGTATATTTTTCCTGTATAAACGATGTGGGACAACTCACAAGTGGTATTATATTCTAATACGCCTCCTCACTTGTGAATCCTTCATATGAACCCCAAGCCCATATACGGAGCTGGGTGCACAAGCTCTACTGGGCTGGGAAACAGGTACGTCATCGCACGGTCCCACATAGAACCGACTCTGACACCATGTAAGAATCGGAGGTAGATCGAGGTGCGGTCCCACGCAAATGAAGCGCACCATACAAGGAAAAGCACAGATGAAGCTCAACTGAGGTTCCATCCCAAAATCAATTGGTGAAAGGAGGAGTAGCTCACTAGTCTTATAAGTTGGGTCTATTTTTCATGTATAAACGATGTGGGACAACTCACAAGTGGTATTATAGTCTAATAAGTGTGATGACCCGCGTCCAACTCAATCCAAACGTGACAAGAGATCGAGACAACAATCTGAAGACCGATCTGAAGTGCCTGAACCTCTGCGTCATAGCTCAAGGAGGCCCGAAGAGAGGCATGGAAAGCGGTAACAAGAGCACCGCTATGATCCCTAATCTGGCCCCACCTCCGGCAGCTCCAGTAAGTTGGTCAAAAGATCCGTCGGTGTTTAGCTTAACCCAAGGTGGCTCGGGTCTCAGCCAAACAACAGCTCTGGGGCGTGGATGTTGGACAGACGACGACGAAGGTGGGGCAAAGCAGAGAGGCGGCGAGCAACCTGTCCAGTCTCTAGAGGTGAGTCTGCCCAGAGCGGTGAGGAGAGAAAGATGTCGGTCTACCTGCAAATATGAGAACACAAAAAAGAAATATCCCTATGCTTCACATTTTTTCTTTATGTCCAGATTGACCAAAGGATCAGACAAGGAATAAGGAAACCAATGTGTCTGTCGTGTGTGCTCTATGTGAAAAACTCAGAAACTCAAAGAAATTATCTGTGGTGGGTAGGGGTATATGGGTGTAACGGGCGTAATGCTCTCACACTCTTCTCACAGTCTCGCTCTCAAAAACAGGATGTCAATGCTCATACACTAGCAATTAATGACATGCCCTCTTGATGAGAGTAATCAATAATGTAGTCTATTCTTTATATGATAGTTCTTCTATATCTAACCATCATATCCAGAGGCGGAGGCAAGATTAAAAATTTACCCGGGCTAAAATTATTTAACCAAAAATAAAATTGTATCGCAAAATTTCAAATAAGTCATTGTTTTTACTATTGTAAAAAGTTAACAACTAAATTTGAAAATTTTAAATAAGAAAAGCAATTAATATGATAAATGAATGATATAATTGTTGGAAGTTCTGCTATCATTCAATATATATTGGAAATGGTGTTTTATGTTTACAAAATAAGATATTACATTCTTGAAACACCAAAATAATAAAAGAAGGATTTTGAACTTAATTTAGATCATTTTTTGTCTTGGCTATAAATTTATTTTACAATTTTTAATTTTAAGCCAATAATCAAACCTAGCTCCCAAATTAATAAGAAAGCAGACAAAGCCTATGCGTCTAAAAAGTATCATATATAAAATAAAGTAATATAAATAAAAATTAATTAAATAAAGTTGCAAATTATTTTTAACAATCCACTATCAAAATTTAAGAACTGAATTTTAAAGCCGTTTATGCTTCTTAACTGAATTGAAGAAAATTAATAACAAATAAGTAAAGTTTACACATGCAAAACTAGACCATTTTAATTTGTCAACAAGATTTTCATTATTTAAGAATTAAGAAAAAAGAAAAAAATAAAAAACTCACATTTAGATATNAAATATATACTCCATTAATTATCTCAAACCCACCCGGGCAAGCATAAACTTGCCTCCGCCCCTGAATTCATACCGAACAACTTTTCTCATATATATACATATTTTTATTAATACAAAGTAAAATAAATATAAAACTCAGCTTGTTAAGGCCGATTGACTAACAAGCTGGACTCGACTGGAATTGATAAAACTTGCTTAAGTTTGAAAAAGAAAATTTTTATATAATTTTTAACTCGGTTGAACTCGTTAAGGCTCGAGTTTAACTTAGTAAATATTAGTAATAAACAAGCTCACATCAAATTTATTTATTTATTTATTTATTTTTATATCAAACTTGACTATAGGACCCATGCAAAAGAACGTTAAAACGACAAGTCATGACGTCGTAAAACGCAAATTGACGCATGTAACCCCATGCGCCAAAGGCTCCAACCGCAATCGGTTGCTCCAGATATGTATGCACACAATTCCCAATAAACCACGCCTGGCTTCCTTTTCCCTTTTTGGTTTCCTTTTTCTCTCAAACGCTATAAATCCACATTCAATTCTACGTTGAAAAGAACAATCTGTTCTTTATCTGCAACCATTCCAAGAGATAAAAAAAGGGAGAAAAACTGTAAAAAAAAAAAACCCGGAAAAAAGTAGCTGAATTTCTGAAAGTGTCATCAATGGCCGGCGCTGATAGAAATGATGCAGGGATGAGCTCTGGCAATTCCAATTTCTTGATTGTGAGCCATGAAAATGGTGGAATTTGGGATTTGTTCAAGTTCTTGGTGTATAATGATCAAGAAAGTGGTGGGAAGTTTCTGGAGAGCGACCACGGCAATGGGATATTAGAAGAAAAGCTTGCAGGAGACGACAATGGTGGGGAGGTGGGGCCCGACCGCAGGTGGGTGATAGTTGTTTCTATCATCGTGAGGAAAATTATTAAGGTTTTGGGTAAGCCCATGGAGGGTTTTGGTTGTCTTATCGAGTTTATGCTGAATCTTTTGTCTCTCAATGGCAACTTTCTTGGTTTGCTGTCCAGATTTATTCATGGTATGTTGCTCACCTCAGCTCAAACTCTTTATTTTTATCCTATGTTGCCTTTTGTTTTGGGAAATGTTGAAGAATGGTTTGTTATCAGTTTGATTTACTGATGGCTGGCTTGCTGATGAGGAAATTGCAGATTGATTACAAATATTGTTTGTACAAGTTGAAATCTGCTTGATGCATATCAAGTGTTTGTTAATAAGCAAATGCCAAACGGGATGTTCGTAGTATTCATTGCAATTTTTTTTTTTTTTTTTTTTNTTTTCTCCTATTCATTTTGCTAAACTTCAGTTCATGATGGGATGCTTGGATTTGGATTCCATAATCATTTGTTATGATGTTTGATAATAAAGTCACTTAATGTCATTGTATAGTTTCTTATTGATCTATCCGATCATTTAGCAGTTAATCGTGTGATAGAATGGAATTCAACTGTTTGTATATTTTGATAGTGGTTAAGTTGAAATTCTACTCTGTGGCCATGTGTTTTTTGAAGACATGCTCAGTTTGAGAAGTATTTTCTTAGTCCACATTTCATAATTTGGATGATTTATGTGAAGGAAATGTGGTGATACCAAAAAGAGGCTCCGAAACGTTCATAAGTGCAATTGGACATTTAGATGGACGCATAGACCTGTTCAAAACCGAGACTTTCTCCGAAGAAATTAGCCATGATGATTTTAAGGGGAACAAATTGCCAGTGGAGATTGGAAATCGGGCTCTAATGGACATGTGCATGATGGCTTCCAAACTAGCCTACGAGAATGATAAGGTTGTCAAAAACATCGTAGATCTTCATTGGAAGGTAATAACTAATAACATCCGTATACTGCCTCTGCCTATATATGGGTTATAGCGCGTAATTATTGTACATTAACCTTTGAAATACTATTTCTCCTTAACAGATGCATTTTGTGGACTTCTACAATTGTTGGAATGGTATGAACATGTTGAATTTTTGCTTCTTATTGAGAAACAAACAAATTGCACAAAACTATATTGAAAATGCTGATATATATATATATATATATCTTCCCATCATCACGCGTTATTAT